GCCATTCACTCAGTCAACCATTATTAACTGAGCACCTGCCTTGTGCCAGATACTGTTCTAGATGCTGGGGATAGAGCAGTAGATAGGTACACATGTCCCTGCCCTCACAGGGCTTACATGCTCAGGGGGCACGGCAGTCAATAACCCTTCAAGTTGGCGACAGTGTTATAAGTGGCAGCCATGCAGGCAGAAGAGTCCCCTCTACCCACAGGGTTGCTCCTTGGGACCCTCAGTTGGAAAATCAGTACCAAAATGTTTGCAGCCTGAGCCATTCATTTCTTGTCATTGATTGCTCCACTGGTCACTTAATCTGTCCATCTGTTTATTCATTCACTCAGCCAACATTTATTAAGCACCACTGTCTTCCATGCAAAATGCTGGACTGCTTGGAATCCTGTGATGAGCAAAATAGACATAATACCTACTATGGAGGGCCCTCCAGTTTATTAGGGAACACATTTGTAAATAAGTTAAGAGAAATAAAGTCTGTTATTTTATTGTCTCATACCATTTTACCAGTGACAGGTGCTTCAAAAAATATTTTAGATATGCAAGAGTATAGATAACACATAAAAACCCACTAAATAGATTTTTTTGTGTAACAAAACTTGTATTAAAGCTCAAAATGGTGGTAATGGTGGTGAGTTGTTTCGGTTCCAGGCCTCAGACCCACATCGGCCCAGACACGGGGCTCTGGCACCATGCAGACTCTCAGTCAATATTTGCTGGGTGACCAACCAGTGAGCGTCTGCGGGGCCACTCATTTGTTGTACAAAGAGAAATGCCTGTGCAGGGGTCACTCATGGACTTCTGGAGAGGAATCTCAAACTCGCTGCCCGATGGCACTCGGCTGGCAGCTTCAATGAGTGGAGCTACCTGGTTGGGGAGACTGGCGTTGTGGAGCCCGAGGCAAACTGGAACAGCTTGTCCAAGGGGGCAGCCCGCTGCTGCTCAGCTTTGCCCACATGAGGGTGAAGGCACACCATTACCACATCCTTCAAGTTTTCAAGAGAACGTGGCTCTCTAGATTTTAATAGAATCAGCTTGGAGCTAAATTTCCCTAAAAGACCTTGCAGACCGATCTGGGGTGGTGGGTGGACAAGCAAAGCATGCAGGTAGGTCACCAGTTGGCAACCTTTCTTCCCAGTCCTTCCAGTCGTAGTCTGTGGGCTCTGCCAGCTGAGGACTTTGTCCCGTTCAGCTCCTGGGACCTCCCGCTCTTCCTCCAGCAGTGAGTTTGGTCAGCATCCCTCATTCGCTTTTCACATCTCACCTCCAGGTCTTTGTCTGGGTTGGAAAGGATTCCCAAGAAGAGGAAAAGACGGAAGCCCTGACCTCTGGTGAGGACCAAGTGTGCCTGTGGGTCTCCATGTGGTGCGGTGGGAACAGCTTCCTGCGCGGGTCTGGGAGTTCGTGACAGGGGGCTGGGGTCTTCCTCCTCCGTGCGTAGCCCCCGTCGTGAGCCTGGCTGGGTCAGTTCCTTCAGGAGTTTCAGGTCATGCCAGGGAAGGGAAGGAATGGATAGAAACTGCCTCAGGCTTCCAAGATGCCCAAGACTGAGCTTGTCAAGGTCGAGATGTCAGAAAGCAGATCCCTGAGAGCCGAGTAGATCTGATTTGGGAGCTGGGAACCCAAAAGCTGGCTTTTAAATATCTCCCTATAGTGGACAGCAAGAGCACAAAATGTTACGACTTTTATGAAGTAAGAGATTAAATTGTGGCTCTGCCCCTTCCTGTGTTCCTGGGTGGGGTTGGACAGGAGTCAAGTGTCCTCTGCCTTTGAGTGATAGTGGCGTCCAGTGTGGGTACTGGGCATTAGAGACGGGGGGACCAAAAGCCATCTTAGGCAACTCCTGCCCTGAACCACCCTCTCCCTGCTGAGGGAGGTACTAAGGACTCCTGGGGTTTCCTTTCCCTGCATGTGTGTCTACAGCTAAGCGGTATATCGAGACGGATCCAGCTAATCGAGATAGGAGGACGCCCATCACTGTGGTGAAGCAAGGGTTTGAACCTCCCTCCTTCGTGGGCTGGTTCCTCGGCTGGGATGACAACTACTGGTCTGTGGACCCCTTGGACAGGGCCATGGCTGAGCTGGCTGCCTAAGGAAGGGCAGGCCCCACCCCGTTCCTGGTCAGTGCCTTTTATAACTGTCATCCTTCAAAGAGACCTTCCTTACAGTGAACAGGGCCACTCTGGTGTGTGTACATTTTTACAGTAGCCAAAAACAGCCCTGTAGAAATTCAGGGTCTTTGCAAAATTGTCTCAAGTATCTGTGCTTTTGAAAATTGAATTCAATAAAATCTGTTTGAAGTGTGTTAGCCTGCTGAGGTGCAGTATGTCCTACTAATTATTCTGAGAGTGCCCAGGGAAGGGCCTCCCATGTGCCTGTGAACCAGGGGGTGAGCTCCATTCACCCTGTGTGTTAATCCTGCTCCTTCAAGAAGCAGAGGCCAAGATGAGATGAAATGTGTGGAGGTTCTCCTGAGGGAACTGCCTGTGTGATGGAAATCAGGAGGGGACGCTGGAAAGCCATCAGACCAAGATGCGAATCCTACCCCATGAAGGAGAGGTAGGGAGAAGGTTGGGTGGAAGCCATCCTACATGGCTGTGCAATCCAGGGAGGTTCTGCAAAGCTTTGGGGGAGTCCTTAATACAAAGTAAAAAAAAAAAAAAAATTTTTTTTAATGGTTGGTTCCATTTTTGTTTTTTATTGTTTATATTATATATACATAACAAAATTTCTCATTTTTGACCACTCCTAAGTGTACAATTCAGTGGCATTAAATACATTTATAATGTACAGCTGTCGCCACCATCTACACCCAAACCTTTCTCATAATCCCCAAGGTCAATGCTGTGCCCAGTAAACAGTAACTCTTTGTTTTTTCCCTCCCCTTTGCCCCTGGTAACTGTTATTCTACTTTCCGTCTCTGAATTTGCCCATTCTAGGTGACTCATGTAAGTGGAATCAAACAGTATTTGTCCTTTTGTGTCTGGCTTATTTCACTTAATATTTCCAAGATCATATACTTCGTAGCATGTATCAAAATTTCTTTCTGTGGCTGAATAATATTCCATTGTGTGTACATACTACATTTATCCATTCATCCATTAGTGGACACTCAGATCATTTTCACCTTTTGGCTATTGTGAATAATGCTGCTCTGAACATTGATGTACAAGTATGTGTTCATTTCAAAGTGTCCTTGAGCTAAAGTCAAATCAGCCTACAAAGCTGTTGTGTCTCCCAGGAGCGGGTATGGTGTATCTTATCTCCCCACTACACTCAGTAGTTAGGAGGTGTGGCCTTGCAGCACTTGTGGGATGGAATTCAAAGCCAGCAGCTGGGGCCTTTAGTCAATTATGATCCTGTAAGTCTGACAAGATGCATTTTTATAGCTGCCACATACTGTGCCATCTGCCCGGAACCGCCTTGCTTCCCCTGGTTCCCGCTAGTCACTCTGCTGCCCCAGAGCAGTTTGGAGAAATAACTGCAGCTGCCATCACAAGAGGTGCCTGTGGGTGTTCAACTTTGGGAGAGGAACTTCCTCTGTGTCCCACCCACTTGGTCCCCTGGGCCCTGAGTCTCTGCTCATGCACAGGTTGTCAGAGTCCCTTTCAGATACTCCATGAACTTCTGCCTCTAAACCTTTTCTCCATGGAGGTTCCAAACCAGTCCAAGGAACTGCTGTGGTACAGATCCCATTCCCTCCCCTCTGTCCTGGTCTTTTCTCCCCATGTTTTTACCCCTTTTATTCCACGCCTTCTCCCACCCCACTGTCACCCAAGTTATGGAGTGAAAATTTCTGTGCATAGAATTTTAGAATAGAAACCAGGGTGAGGGTTTATGTGATGGGAAAGGTGTCTGTTTATGCTGTTGTTTCCAAAGCTGGCTGATCAAATTGCCCAGGGAACTTTTTAGAAGCATTGTTTCCTCAGGGGCCCCTACCTCCAGAGATTCTGATCACTGCAGAAATGACAAGGGGAGTGGAGAAGGAATTTCCCAAGTGAAACGTTGGGGGAAAGTCAAGTCATCTCAGGCAGTGTGTGCATCAAGTACAAACACAGGGAGTGATGAGGGACAATGTTCTGCTCAGAGACAAACAGCCAGGTGTGGCTGGAGCAGAAAGTGGGGAGTGCAAGGCCCCAAATCTGAGAGGTAGGAGGGGCCCAGTTCATGAAGGACCTCAAATGCCATGCAAAGGGGTTTGGACTTGTAACTCCTGCCTTGCTTACCCCAAAGGGTTACTACTTTCATGGTCAAAGCAATCGCCCTGACAAATGTAGACAGACCTGGAGCAAAGGCAGCATTACCAGCTGGAGCTTCTAGGGCCTTCACTAGAGGCTAGTGGAGGCCTGTCTAGACAGAACCAACTCACATCCTGGAAACCTGTGGGAGGTCACCTTGCAGGTGGATTCATTTCCGTTTATTGGCATTCAAGGTGGTTGACTAGCCAATTTCAGTTTATTAGTGGCTGTGGCCTTGGAGTTCTGCAGTGCCGATCAAGGAACTTGCCTGAGGCTTTTGAGTTTCTTGAACTTCCTATTTTTCTCTCAAAGGCAAAACAATGAGTTAGGAACACTATCATTTCAACCAATTTCTCTTCCTAACAATTTTTGATAGATCTTGGATTTCGTCCTCTACAATGGAGATGTCACCATGAAACGCTACAACAGGTGCCAAAGGGGCATGTCCTGGAAAGAGATTGGTGTGGGCTTGGATGCTATGTCCAGCCTTGGGCTGTTCAACGGGTGGTTTATCATGTGCTTTGTTGGGCAGAATGCAAACACCTCATTTGTTGAGCAGGGATAATTATCCCTATCCTGTCAGGCTGTCATCAGTCTTAAGCCAGAAGTAGTCCTGGCTGTGTGTCTGCTGCCAAGTCTGCCCTCTCTGGGCCTCGTTTCATCACCTTTGAATTCCCTCTGGCCTTTTCCCTCTTTGCCCCCTGGGATTTTAAGATGGAGGGTGGGGCTTGAGAGCAGTTGGTTGTGTGGGGCTGGGTTTGTCTGGGGTCTGGTGAGAAGTGCTGGGGGCTGGTGGTGTCAGTTGGCAGCTGGTGTGGCCTCCCCTCACAGACAGCTTCTGGGAGGCCCTGGGAGGCAAGGCCGCCTACCGCACGTCCCCACGGCTGAAGGACAAGAAGATGGACGCCCACCCTCCTCGCCTCTTTGCCTGCTCCAACAAGATCGGACGTTTTGTGGTGAGGCCCTGCAGAGGTTGCTACCTCTGCCTACCCCTTGGGAGGCGGTGCTCCAACTACCAGGGCGCTGGGCAGCCAGGCGGGGAGAAGCAGTTCTGATGGCACAGAGCACAGGAAGGATCCCCCTGCTGGTTGGGATCTGCGACTCCCCTGGGGGTGGGGGGAGGGGGGCAAATAGAGTAAGCCTACCCAGGGGAAGGAAGCCGGCCGGGGTGGTGCGCTTTCATGAGCCTCTTCTCTTCCTTCCCAGATCGAAGAGGTTCCTGGGGAGCTCATGCAGGAAGACCTGGCCACTGATGACGTCATGCTCCTGGACACCTGGGACCAGGTGGGTGAAGGACAGAAGGTGAAGGCTCTCTGGGCCTGAGGGAGTGGAAGGAGCCAGACTTCCAGCTCTAAGATCACTTGCCAGAAGGACTTAAAAGAGCCAGTGTTGCTGGGGAAGTCCCTGGTTTGCTGCTACCCTCTTCCACTTTCTGAGCCTCCATTTCCTCATCTGCAAAGTGGGAGTGATAGCACCTACGTTGCATAACCGCCCAAGGTGAGATGTAGATAAAATCCCCGGCAAATCACGAAGCCCCAGATAAATGCACATCAGGTGACCAGCATTCTCTCCCAGGCCTCAAGGAAGTATGAACTCTTGAAGTTGGTAACGAATGTTGAACTTAGCAGCATATCATATGCAGGCACAAACTGTCCAGTGGTACCTGGAGGTTTCAAAGAGCATCTCCTGTTTTAGAGGGCTCCAGGCTCTGCTTCATCTCCTAGGGAAGGCTATTGTGTAGGACTTGGCAGGGCAAAGTGCCATTCACTCAGTCAACCATTATTAACTGAGCACCTGCCTTGTGCCAGATACTGTTCTAGATGCTGGGGATAGAGCAGTAGATAGGTACACATGTCCCTGCCCTCACAGGGCTTACATGCTCAGGGGGCACGGCAGTCAATAACCCTTCAAGTTGGCGACAGTGTTATAAGTGGCAGCCATGCAGGCAGAAGAGTCCCCTCTACCCACAGGGTTGCTCCTTGGGACCCTCAGTTGGAAAATCAGTACCAAAATGTTTGCAGCCTGAGCCATTCATTTCTTGTCATTGATTGCTCCACTGGTCACTTAATCTGTCCATCTGTTTATTCATTCACTCAGCCAACATTTATTAAGCACCACTGTCTTCCATGCAAAATGCTGGACTGCTTGGAATCCTGTGATGAGCAAAATAGACATAATACCTACTATGGAGGGCCCTCCAGTTTATTAGGGAACACATTTGTAAATAAGTTAAGAGAAATAAAGTCTGTTATTTTATTGTCTCATACCATTTTACCAGTGACAGGTGCTTCAAAAAATATTTTAGATATGCAAGAGTATAGATAACACATAAAAACCCACTAAATAGATTTTTTTGTGTAACAAAACTTGTATTAAAGCTCAAAATGGTGGTAATGGTGGTGAGTTGTTTCGGTTCCAGGCCTCAGACCCACATCGGCCCAGACACGGGGCTCTGGCACCATGCAGACTCTCAGTCAATATTTGCTGGGTGACCAACCAGTGAGCGTCTGCGGGGCCACTCATTTGTTGTACAAAGAGAAATGCCTGTGCAGGGGTCACTCATGGACTTCTGGAGAGGAATCTCAAACTCGCTGCCCGATGGCACTCGGCTGGCAGCTTCAATGAGTGGAGCTACCTGGTTGGGGAGACTGGCGTTGTGGAGCCCGAGGCAAACTGGAACAGCTTGTCCAAGGGGGCAGCCCGCTGCTGCTCAGCTTTGCCCACATGAGGGTGAAGGCACACCATTACCACATCCTTCAAGTTTTCAAGAGAACGTGGCTCTCTAGATTTTAATAGAATCAGCTTGGAGCTAAATTTCCCTAAAAGACCTTGCAGACCGATCTGGGGTGGTGGGTGGACAAGCAAAGCATGCAGGTAGGTCACCAGTTGGCAACCTTTCTTCCCAGTCCTTCCAGTCGTAGTCTGTGGGCTCTGCCAGCTGAGGACTTTGTCCCGTTCAGCTCCTGGGACCTCCCGCTCTTCCTCCAGCAGTGAGTTTGGTCAGCATCCCTCATTCGCTTTTCACATCTCACCTCCAGGTCTTTGTCTGGGTTGGAAAGGATTCCCAAGAAGAGGAAAAGACGGAAGCCCTGACCTCTGGTGAGGACCAAGTGTGCCTGTGGGTCTCCATGTGGTGCGGTGGGAACAGCTTCCTGCGCGGGTCTGGGAGTTCGTGACAGGGGGCTGGGGTCTTCCTCCTCCGTGCGTAGCCCCCGTCGTGAGCCTGGCTGGGTCAGTTCCTTCAGGAGTTTCAGGTCATGCCAGGGAAGGGAAGGAATGGATAGAAACTGCCTCAGGCTTCCAAGATGCCCAAGACTGAGCTTGTCAAGGTCGAGATGTCAGAAAGCAGATCCCTGAGAGCCGAGTAGATCTGATTTGGGAGCTGGGAACCCAAAAGCTGGCTTTTAAATATCTCCCTATAGTGGACAGCAAGAGCACAAAATGTTACGACTTTTATGAAGTAAGAGATTAAATTGTGGCTCTGCCCCTTCCTGTGTTCCTGGGTGGGGTTGGACAGGAGTCAAGTGTCCTCTGCCTTTGAGTGATAGTGGCGTCCAGTGTGGGTACTGGGCATTAGAGACGGGGGGACCAAAAGCCATCTTAGGCAACTCCTGCCCTGAACCACCCTCTCCCTGCTGAGGGAGGTACTAAGGACTCCTGGGGTTTCCTTTCCCTGCATGTGTGTCTACAGCTAAGCGGTATATCGAGACGGATCCAGCTAATCGAGATAGGAGGACGCCCATCACTGTGGTGAAGCAAGGGTTTGAACCTCCCTCCTTCGTGGGCTGGTTCCTCGGCTGGGATGACAACTACTGGTCTGTGGACCCCTTGGACAGGGCCATGGCTGAGCTGGCTGCCTAAGGAAGGGCAGGCCCCACCCCGTTCCTGGTCAGTGCCTTTTATAACTGTCATCCTTCAAAGAGACCTTCCTTACAGTGAACAGGGCCACTCTGGTGTGTGTACATTTTTACAGTAGCCAAAAACAGCCCTGTAGAAATTCAGGGTCTTTGCAAAATTGTCTCAAGTATCTGTGCTTTTGAAAATTGAATTCAATAAAATCTGTTTGAAGTGTGTTAGCCTGCTGAGGTGCAGTATGTCCTACTAATTATTCTGAGAGTGCCCAGGGAAGGGCCTCCCATGTGCCTGTGAACCAGGGGGTGAGCTCCATTCACCCTGTGTGTTAATCCTGCTCCTTCAAGAAGCAGAGGCCAAGATGAGATGAAATGTGTGGAGGTTCTCCTGAGGGAACTGCCTGTGTGATGGAAATCAGGAGGGGACGCTGGAAAGCCATCAGACCAAGATGCGAATCCTACCCCATGAAGGAGAGGTAGGGAGAAGGTTGGGTGGAAGCCATCCTACATGGCTGTGCAATCCAGGGAGGTTCTGCAAAGCTTTGGGGGAGTCCTTAATACAAAGTAAAAAAAAAAAAAAAATTTTTTTTAATGGTTGGTTCCATTTTTGTTTTTTATTGTTTATATTATATATACATAACAAAATTTCTCATTTTTGACCACTCCTAAGTGTACAATTCAGTGGCATTAAATACATTTATAATGTACAGCTGTCGCCACCATCTACACCCAAACCTTTCTCATAATCCCCAAGGTCAATGCTGTGCCCAGTAAACAGTAACTCTTTGTTTTTTCCCTCCCCTTTGCCCCTGGTAACTGTTATTCTACTTTCCGTCTCTGAATTTGCCCATTCTAGGTGACTCATGTAAGTGGAATCAAACAGTATTTGTCCTTTTGTGTCTGGCTTATTTCACTTAATATTTCCAAGATCATATACTTCGTAGCATGTATCAAAATTTCTTTCTGTGGCTGAATAATATTCCATTGTGTGTACATACTACATTTATCCATTCATCCATTAGTGGACACTCAGATCATTTTCACCTTTTGGCTATTGTGAATAATGCTGCTCTGAACATTGATGTACAAGTATGTGTTCATTTCAAAGTGTCCTTGAGCTAAAGTCAAATCAGCCTACAAAGCTGTTGTGTCTCCCAGGAGCGGGTATGGTGTATCTTATCTCCCCACTACACTCAGTAGTTAGGAGGTGTGGCCTTGCAGCACTTGTGGGATGGAATTCAAAGCCAGCAGCTGGGGCCTTTAGTCAATTATGATCCTGTAAGTCTGACAAGATGCATTTTTATAGCTGCCACATACTGTGCCATCTGCCCGGAACCGCCTTGCTTCCCCTGGTTCCCGCTAGTCACTCTGCTGCCCCAGAGCAGTTTGGAGAAATAACTGCAGCTGCCATCACAAGAGGTGCCTGTGGGTGTTCAACTTTGGGAGAGGAACTTCCTCTGTGTCCCACCCACTTGGTCCCCTGGGCCCTGAGTCTCTGCTCATGCACAGGTTGTCAGAGTCCCTTTCAGATACTCCATGAACTTCTGCCTCTAAACCTTTTCTCCATGGAGGTTCCAAACCAGTCCAAGGAACTGCTGTGGTACAGATCCCATTCCCTCCCCTCTGTCCTGGTCTTTTCTCCCCATGTTTTTACCCCTTTTATTCCACGCCTTCTCCCACCCCACTGTCACCCAAGTTATGGAGTGAAAATTTCTGTGCATAGAATTTTAGAATAGAAACCAGGGTGAGGGTTTATGTGATGGGAAAGGTGTCTGTTTATGCTGTTGTTTCCAAAGCTGGCTGATCAAATTGCCCAGGGAACTTTTTAGAAGCATTGTTTCCTCAGGGGCCCCTACCTCCAGAGATTCTGATCACTGCAGAAATGACAAGGGGAGTGGAGAAGGAATTTCCCAAGTGAAACGTTGGGGGAAAGTCAAGTCATCTCAGGCAGTGTGTGCATCAAGTACAAACACAGGGAGTGATGAGGGACAATGTTCTGCTCAGAGACAAACAGCCAGGTGTGGCTGGAGCAGAAAGTGGGGAGTGCAAGGCCCCAAATCTGAGAGGTAGGAGGGGCCCAGTTCATGAAGGACCTCAAATGCCATGCAAAGGGGTTTGGACTTGTAACTCCTGCCTTGCTTACCCCAAAGGGTTACTACTTTCATGGTCAAAGCAATCGCCCTGACAAATGTAGACAGACCTGGAGCAAAGGCAGCATTACCAGCTGGAGCTTCTAGGGCCTTCACTAGAGGCTAGTGGAGGCCTGTCTAGACAGAACCAACTCACATCCTGGAAACCTGTGGGAGGTCACCTTGCAGGTGGATTCATTTCCGTTTATTGGCATTCAAGGTGGTTGACTAGCCAATTTCAGTTTATTAGTGGCTGTGGCCTTGGAGTTCTGCAGTGCCGATCAAGGAACTTGCCTGAGGCTTTTGAGTTTCTTGAACTTCCTATTTTTCTCTCAAAGGCAAAACAATGAATTAGGAACACTATCATTTCAACCAATTTCTCTTCCTAACAATTTTTGATAGATCTTGGATTTCGTCCTCTACAATGGAGATGTCACCATGAAACGCTACAACAGGTGCCAAAGGGGCATGTCCTGGAAAGAGATTGGTGTGGGCTTGGATGCTATGTCCAGCCTTGGGCTGTTCAACGGGTGGTTTATCATGTGCTTTGTTGGGCAGAATGCAAAGTGCTAGAGATACGATTAGCTGGTGACAGCGAAAGTGAGTTCCTGTCCCATTTGGATTCAGGCAAAGGGAAATGAAATCAGCCAAGGATACAGGGGATTCATGGGTCTGACACCCCAGGTAAGTATGTAGGTGGGTGCCCCGGAGGGAGCCTCAACATAGGAGATGAGAGATGGACTCTCACGGCCTCCCCTTCCTCGGCCCCAAGAAGCGCAGACAAGCTAGCACAGCTGGCCCAGGACTGGAGGGTCTGATGTGTCACTTCGGAAAAAAATCCGCATACACTAAACGCAGGCAGAAATAGACTCTTGGCCAGAAAAACATCAGTGAAAATGCACACTTTATTACATACAGCGTTGGAAAGGGAGGCCGCATGGCAAAACCTCTTGCACCCACTCTCATCCTAGAGCTCCGTCTGTGCTTCCTCCCTCCCAAGAGATTGAATTCCAACCTACTGGGCTATGAGTCCACAAGGCAGAAAAGCGAAGATCATTTGGTATCTGGAGATAGGAAAGAATCAAGGACGGAAAGCACGGTTACTCTAAGCCCCAGAAGAGATTTTTCACCCAGGAAGTGTGGCTGTTTCCTGGTCTCAGTGGTTCAGGGTGAGCCACCTCATAAGAGATAAAATCCTTACTTTAAAATTCAAAATATAAATGCAACTTGAGTTCCAAGTCCAAATGCTCCATATATACATCTAATAATCTCAGCTCAGAATCTGGATACATGGTTCAAGGGTTTCTAAAATAAGTTTAGAAAGGGAGTATAGGGGAGGGGATGCTTACAGACTGGAATTGACAGTGATCTAGCTAAGTGATCTGGGTAAGGAAGCTGCCCTTTGTGAGACTTCTCTAGGTGAACTCAGAGCCTCAAAGAGAAGTGGAATAAATGTTACCAGCCAGTTTTCCAGATCAACAGGAAGAATGCCAGGTTGTTCAGATTCACAGGTGTTTGTCAAACGGAAGGTGCTTCCTGTTACAGACGAGGCAACTGGGGTTCAGAGGGGCTGACTACTTCCTTCAGCATCAACATGTATGACAGAAAAAAGACTGACTAGGCAAACAAGGTCTACATCTGTATAGATATCTGAAGTTTGACTGCATCTTCTCCAACTCACTGGGTGCCCAGTAAAGTGTGAATTCCTTATCCTATTGAATGAATGGGACTGGTAACCAAGATATTTCACGGTGTACAATAGTTAACAGCATGCAAACAATAAAACAATGGTTTTCTAAAGATTTTTTTTAAGTATTAGTTCTTAAGCTATTCAATGAGTTTATAAAAAATTGTAGAACTGAAAAGATTTTATTTAAAAAATCAAAATTATTTAAAACCTGAACCATGAAAATAGGCAAAGTGAGAAAAAAGCACTTTTGTGATAAGTATTTAGCTGGTTTCAAAGACCACAGAAGAATCAATTTACTCACACGGAGGCTCAAAGGAGTTTTTAAAAAATTATTTTAAAGACTTCTATAATAATGGATTTGAAAGTCTTTCAAGGGTTAGGATAATCTTTTTCAGCGATCCTGGCCATTTCCTCCAGTGCTGAAGGTAAAGGCAAGAAAATGCCTATTCTCAACTGAGGATTATTTTGAAACATAGTTTGGGTTCAGGAAGTAAAGAGATATTAGGAACATTTCCTTCATTAAGTTTCCCTTGAATTAAGGCACATGTGGCCCAGAGAAGCTGGTTGTAGCTGAAAGTCACTGCTTTCTGAACAGCAGCTGTCCAGCCAGGGTGTCAAGTAGTGGTTCTAGCCTATTATCCTGGCTCCAGATCGAGGTGCAGAATGACCCAGTGGAAGGCAATAGAAGGGAATTTAATCTATTACATAATGAACTAAAAATACCAACCTCTGAATATTTTTTAAAGGTGAGAGATAATCTTATAAATCACCAGTCTCTCTCTCTCTTTCCTTCCCTGTATTTCCCTGTATTTACAAGCTAACAATCTTTATCTGTTAGGATCACTATACATTCTAAGAACATCACACTCGACATATTGGAAAAGGAAAGGGAGAAAGAATAGCCAAGGTTCCTGCCCTACTCTCTTTATGGGTTAAGGGGTGATTTGGTCCCCCACTTCATCCTTGGAAGGCAAGAGCTCATCTCTGCCTACATGGCTCACTGTTTTGCCCCCACGATGCCTTGCAACATATCTATGGGCAGAGGGAAGACAATTGTCGAGTTTTTCTCAGCAGCGATGGTTGTCAGTGTCTGAAGGTACCGGAGCTGAAGGGCCGCAGGAGATTCAGTGATGACCATGGAGGCTTCTTTCAGAGCCCTGGATGCATTCATTTCTCCCTCCGCTGCAATGACCTATGGAACAGTGGAAAGAAGAGGTCAAACTATAGAAAACAGCAGGGACCAAGTAGCAATCTTCAAATTGGGGTATGTGTGCCTCAGGTGGTACACGGAACTTTTCCAGGGAGTATGCCAAAAGTTTTAAGGAAATCAGTTTCCAGATGCGCAGTTTTGGAAAGGCAAATGACTTCATATTTGATCCACCTGTGTCTTCAAGCGTAAACGCTTGAGAAGTCAAATGAAGGCAGTTACTTTTAATACACAATTCTAGGAGAAAAGATGTAAAGATACTATAATCACCAAGATTAAAGTGCAGTGTCACTAGGCTGTTGGTACGTGGATCTCAAAATATTAATGGTTCACAATACTCCTGGGAGTATTAGAATTGGAAGCAATGGTCTCATGACCAGTGAAGTGTCATTGACTTACACAGTAAACTCTGGGGGCCTCCTAGGTGTCAAGCCCACGCTATTCTAGGAATAGAGTGGACTCCCTCGCCTCCTTCAGCTGCTGGTCAAGTAGGGCAGACATGGAAGCAGATCATTTTATTCCAGGGTGACAAATGCTGACAGATGTATGTACAAGGCACAGTGCTCACACTAGGGAGAAAGTAATTTTTGCAGGAGGTGAGGTGATGAGGGTTGTGATATAATGAGTTAGAAGAAATACATTATTTGGTCATTCATATGACCAAATATCTATTTCCCAGGTAGATTTGGTTTTCATCCACAGTTCCTGAAAACACTGCAGAGTCTTCAAGGTGAGATAAGTGTTCTTTCAATTTAATGAGAGACTTTTGGACCCCTACCCCAGGGCAGAGGCTGGAGGTGAATCAGTGAATGGCCTATAACTTATGACTATGCAATGAGGTCCTCACAAAACCCCTGAGAGGAGCTTGTTGCTCTCTTCTCCACTGGGTTGGATCCTACTTCTCAGGAAGAGCTTCTATGCTTGGGGAACCGGAACGCCTCCACGTGCCACCCAGCCAGGCCCCAAGCTGCACGAGGATAGAAGCTCCTTTATTTGCGACCTTGCCCTCTCTGTCTCTTCATCTGGCTGTTAATGTATCCTTTACAGGATCCTTTACTAAAAGTGTTTTCCTGAGTTCTGTGAGCAGCTCTAGCAAATTAATTGAACCCAAGGGGGAGGTTTTGAGAATCTCCAATCCATAGCTGGTAGGAGCACAGGGAACACCCTGGAGCTTGTGACCAGCACTGGAGTCCAGGGTGGAGGGCGGCCTTGTAGGACGGAGCCCTTAACCTGGAGAATCTGGTGCTGTCCCCAGGCACTTAACATCAGAATTGAGTTGAATTCTCAGACACTCTGCTGGTGCTCAAGAATTGCTTGTTGTTTACATGTGTGAGAAGACCCCTTCCACATACTTAACACACATTGGAATCGAGTCCAGGAACCCGAATGGAGTTATACTACAATTACTACTGTGTATACTACCGTTACTGTTTATATGTGTATGTAGGAAAAGACTACACCATCGCATTAGGGGTCAGAGGAGTGGAATTAGCAAGTGTACAGAAGCTGAATGTTGTAGAATGAAAGCTTTGTTGTTTGAGCAAAGACGAGGAAGAATATTTCAGGCAGAACACATGAAAAGGTATGAGGTGTAAAACTGGTGTATTCCAGAAAAGTGACTGAACACTGAGAAAAAGTGGGAAGGTGGGAAACGAACGGGCCAGGGTCTGGTGGGCAGTTCAGGCCAGGGTGTTTGGTCTCCATTTTGCAGGCAGTGAGAAGCCACTGAATAGTTTTAAGAAGATAACCTAGTTGAGAAAATACCTGGGTGAAGGTGAGGATAGATGGGAAAGAGAACTCAGCTGTTGGTGGGACAGCTCGAGAGAGGCTGGAGCGATGCACTGGCAGTGGGGACAGAGGGGGAGATGGACTGGAGAGCTGTTCGGGTGGGGAATCAACAGCTTGGAGACTGACTGGTATGGGGAGGAAGGGGGAATGGGCCGAGTTCCAGCTTTCTAGGTTTTGGTGCCTGGGCAGTGCTGTCAGGGGAGACAGGGGATACAGAATATGGTACTTACTAAAGAGAAGACTCCTTCGAAGAGTATAAAAACCTAACTGATCAAGGTGAACCATTATGTCCTATCTAGGTCTGTGAGAAGGGAGGGGAAAGTGCCAGATATACTCATGTAACTGCACCCCTCAGCAGGCACTACAGAGAATGCTTAAACAAACCTCTGCCACGAGACAGGAGGCTCTGATCATTTTCCATGTCATCTCAGCTGTCCAATCAGGCACTGTTTTCTCTGGACAGGGACCAACTGCAAAGATATCTCCTCCTACCAATCAATACACAACCTCTTGGCTGGGAAGCCAGACCCACTGGATTGGGCTCACATTTGTTAATGGAAAATCTGCTCTGAGCAAGCTGCTTAAGAAGTCTAAATATAGGCCAAGTCTGTGATGCGGACAGGATCTCAAGAATGTAAAGCAAACTGCTTGTGGGTGTGTGGGCTTTTGCTAAAGGTGCAGCAATCCCGCATCAATCAACACTTCATATTTGCAGACCATCATTTAAAAATCTGTCATTTTCAGGTATGTGAGACCATTACTATTATCTCCTTCTGTAGCCCAGGCAGGCTGGTCTGAGGGAGGGGCAGAAAAAGGGGATCTGTGGTTTTGCACTCCACCCTCTCAATTAATAGATGAGTAGGCCCAGAAATATGAGCTTGAAAGCACAAGTCAGACATTTTTCTGGAGAGTTACAAAAAAGGAAATAAGGGAGAACGCAAGTGCAAAGGATACTACACTTCAGTCCTTAAGAGCTGATCTAAAGACTTTGAAAAGAGGTTCCGCTAATGTACTGTAGAGCCTGTCAGACAATCTGTCCTCTGGTGACTGGCTCCTTTCTTGCAAATTGTGAGCATCTGTATGTCCACTCTCTTTGTTGTGTAGCATTCCTTCATGTTACTAAACCATACTTTATCCATTCAACTGGCAGGGGAAGTTTGGGTAGTTTCCAGCCTGGGGTAATCACAGAGTGCTGCTCTGAACATTCAAGCACATGCCTATTGGTAAACAAATGTGTGCACTGTGTTAGATGCATACCGCCAGGCAGTTTTCCAAAATGGTTATAGCAATTTATATTCTCACCAACAAAATACGAGCACCAGTTCCTCCCCTGCCCATACTTGGTTCTTTTTTTTGGAAGCCACTCTGGTGGATGTCCAATGTGACATCTGCTTACGATCTGAATTTGTTATTTCCCTGATGGCTAAATAACTGAAGGAATTCTTCTCTAAAGTCTGTTCATCTACAGGTACTTCTACCCTTTTCTTCTGCAATTTATTTGTTGAAGAAACTATGACCCCCTATTTTCCATGAGAACTTGAATATGTGGTTTTGAAAATACAGCCCATGGTTGTTGCAGGGTCTCTGTATTTTACAGAAGGGCTAGACTTTTTGTGATTCTATGTGTTAACCCTAAGCTTGAAGACAGACAGTCACTGCCCAGGTCCATGATACTGTCCCACAGGGCCCCCGTAGTCCCATCCAAATGGAAGCACTGTGATTCAGCATTCTAACCAGCTTCCCTTATCTCTTCTAATTGTGATAAAGGGAAGACACGAACTCCCTTTCCTTACTCGTGGGAACACTTGTGGAAGAGGCTTAGTCCATCCGGGACAGTCTCAGAGGAAGAGGCAGTGAGGAGCAGAGGGCAATCTAATGCCCACTGCCATTACCTGACTGACCTTCAGGAAATCACATAACTTTTCTGGGCTTCAAGTTTTTCATGTGAATAGTAGGATGGCAAGTGAGTTTCATTTTTAGGGCCAATTCCAAGCAGTTGAAGGTTGGTAGCTGGTGTGCTATGGAAGGGTTCTGAGGTCAAGTCTAAGCTCAATGGAAAACAGTGTTGTGGCTAATTATTATCATGGGAATAAGAGGGTGGAGTGGCAGCATCTGGGCAGGTATTTGTCACCTTCAGAAGATAATCTCTAAGGACCCTTTGGGCTCTGGGAGCCTGTGTGGTCTCTGTACAATAAATTTTTATTATTCAATATGGTTTGGAAATAGAGCCATTGGTTACTGACATATTCTAGGTAAAATCAATTTGTAATTTTTCAAAATACTGATTAGATTATAGTAGGCACATTTGATATGATCATAAATATAATTCCATCTTCAAAATGTGGTGAGTTTGAGGGAAAGCACGTGAGGGGTCTGCAGTATCACCAGGTTATCCTCACAAGCATCAGTTACCACATTAGGAAAACATAAAATTCTGGTTAGTAGGAAATTCTATATATAGTGTATCAAATGAGCTACTATTCTATTTAGTGCTAGCTAAGAAATTACAGTGACCAATTTGTGCCTTAAAGGGCATCCTAATAATAGAAGGGCAGGGTTCTATGCTTAGCCAATTATCTTCTATTTCTACAATACTAGAAAATAGCTACTATTATTTTCTAACAACAAATTGGCTTGCTCCTTGTGAATTGGGAGATTTGTCCAGTCCACAGCACCCCTCCCATGAAAACCACTCCTCTTTCTCCACCTAATCACAGGCAGGGGGCTGTGGAGCCTTACTAGTTTCTGACTTTGCTCTTTGGACCAAAGTTGGACCAAAGAGAATCTCTCTGCTGTGACTCTGCAATTAGGGCTGGCCTGTCTCCTTCAGAGTTCAACTAGGGAGACATGTAAATTGGGAGTCAGACATTTACCCCCTCAAGCTACCTGCAAGTGAGATGCAGCCCAGGAAATGGAATGACCAGCTCCCTTCAGTCTTGCCTGCCTCCTGGTCCCTGGCCCCAATTCTGAAGAGACTGGACTCTACTTCCTACCCTTGGGTTTGCTAAGATATCCCAGTGTCCTTATGAATTATCATCTCAAGAGCTCCTGTCTCCTAGCTTAGGTTACACGTATTTCTTCAGCACCTCTCATGCAGGGTTAAGACATAGGCAGGGATGATGGTGAAAAGAAAGAAGGAAAAAAACATATTAAAGAAAGAAAAGTGGAAAAAGAGAAATAGGAGAGAGAGGAAGAGGCAATAGTAGGAAGGGAAAAGATCCTGAAAAAAGAGGAAGAATTAAAGAAGACAAAAATCAGGGAGCATGGAAAGCAAACTGAGACTGCCATCTGCTCTAGTCAGAAGTGTTCATCTCTCCCTAATGGAGGCTTGGGAGAATGAAGTATGGGTCATGCAGCCATAAAACAACATGGTAACTATGTACTGACATACCCATGAGATGTTATTAGGTGAAGAAAGCAAGGTGCAGAACAGTATGTTTACAACTGTACTTCTGTGACACAGACAAGCCAGTGGTCTAACGATCTAGTCGAATAAACCCCAAATAAACCCCAAATGCTAATCTGGAAGTATATATATCAAACTGCTAAGCATGGTGGTCTCTGAAGGGGATATGGTTTGAAATGATGGGGAGAGCTTTCATCTTTACTAAGCACTTCAGTACTATTTCTATTTTTTATAGCAAGCATGTTTTACTTTAATAATTAAAAAGAAAACTCAACTGGAAAAACAAACTACAAAAAAAAAAAAAAGTTACCTTGGCTCGGGCCTCCCGGGACGCTTCAGCTTCTGCCGCCATAGCCCTCTGGAGCTGCACGGGTAATTTCACGTCCTTAATCTCCACACGCTCCACCTTAATTCCCCAGTCATCAGTGGCATCATCCAGGGTACACTGTTAGGAAGGGAGAAGACAAGCTAAGCGTGGCCAGCCCCAGCCCAGCGGCCAGTTGCAGGGAGAGTGGTTATCCTATGGTGGAGGGACGGATGAAGTAGGGGCTGGGTCACTGAGGAGCCGGTCCTGATTCTGTTATTACTGAGCTAATGCAGGTTGGCAAGCTTTTTCTGACACGGCCAGATACAGTGCTTGTTTTCAGTTGCTGTTGCAAACTGCCGTTGCAGACCAAAAGCAGCCAGAGATAACATGGAAACAATGGGCGTGGTTGGATTCCAATAAAAGGTTACTTACAAAACCTGGTGGCCAGCTGACTCCTGAGCTAATGTGACTGGGTACAAGCCATATTTTGTCTTTACACTTCACTTCCTCCCTTTACATTGGGAGGAATGAAATCATACTGTCTACTTTATATGGTTGTTGTGGGTATCAAATAAGATCATAGATTATACACATAATGGGGTCTATACAAATCATGAAAGTTGATTTATACTGCTTTTATCTTTTTTGAACAGCCAGGTTTAATTCATCATCTATTACTCAAGCATATGAGTTACAAGGCAAGTGATGGGATTCCACCGAGAATACAGCTTTAACAACACCGTACTATTCTGCAGAACGGCCACTTAACTATTACATGAAAGAAAAAGGTCAGTATTTATTCTGGAAAAAAAAAACAATGGAGGAAATAATAATAATAATAATAATGAATGCATGCACGTGTTTATTAGTAGCCCATGAACTATTTGTGTGAAAAACATCCCCTTCCATCAAGTTTCTTTCTATGAAGAAAGGCAGGCCAGTGATTCCCCAACTTGAATTAATACAAAATGCTCAATCACTGACCCTTTGCCTCATTTTTCAATTTCTGGCGAGTAACACCCTGGTGCACGTCTCACCTGCATATTGTGTGCAATTTCTTCTCTGTCAGAGAGAATCTGAGAAAGGTTCTTGGTGCCCAGGACGTTCCTCAGAGTAGTTTGTGCCAAAAGACGGGTCGCTGAGTCAGCGTTGGTAATATTTGCCACTGCCAGGGTTGCATTCTGAACACGGTAATAGACCACGCCATCCACACTAACTGTCACTGAATCCTTAGTGAGGATCTACAATATAAAGGAAGCCAATTTACATCTGTCAACCAACTCTTTCCTTATTATAACTATAAGAAATGTTATTTATAGGACATCCTAAAACACTACCTGATTTTCTTTAGTTTAGTCCTAACACTGAATGTTTGTGTTCCTCCGAAGTTCATTACGTTGCAATCTAATCCTTAAAGTGTTGGTATTTGGAGATGGAGCCTTTGGGTTTCACCCTCATGAATGGGAGCAGTACCCTTATAAAGGAGACCCAAGAGAGCTCCCTCACGCCTTCACCACGCAAGGACACAGTGACAAGACGGTCAGCTGTGAACTAGGAAGGAGGCCCTCGTCAGACCCTGACTCTGCCGGTGCCCTGATCTTGGCTTTCCCAGCCTCCAGAACTGTGAGGAATACATTTCTGCTGTGTATAAGCCCCCCAGTCCATGGTACTTTGTTATGGCAGCTTGAATGGACCGAGACAACAAAGCATCAAAAAGTTAACTATGTCTTTAAAATTTCAAAAAAATATATTCACTGAATTCATTAATTCCATTCATTCATTCATTCAACAAATATTAAGACTACTCAGTAGAAGGTAATGTATTAGGCCCCAGGGATAAAGGTATGAAAAAAGCCAGTTCCTACTTTCAAAGAGGTTGGGGAATCAAGGGAGGCTTTACAGAGCAAAAGCCGGACAGCTGCAGGCGGCAGGGGCGGTGCATGACCCGAGTCTTGAAGAAAGTAAAAAGAAATTTCCGAATGTGGAGTGAGATTCTTCAAGGCAGAGAGAATAATGTGTGACAAGGCCAGAGGTATGGGAGACCCTTGATTTGATGCACTATAGTGGCACGGTATTTCCAGAACAAAAAGTGAATGGGGACTGTTTTTTTTAGGGTGAGGTCAGGGTAAAAATATATCTATAGTATGCTACATAAAAATGCTTAACAGGATGTAACATATCAATACTTCCTGCCACCTTCAGGGCCATGTCCTCGGTTTGGTACTTAAGTTTTTGGCCTCACTCCTCTCCACTCCCTCCTGTACTCACTACTAGACAAGGTATAGGTCCCCATATGCACCACGTTCCATGTTGCAGGCCTTTGCAGGTGTCCCCCTCTGCTTGGATGTCCTCTCCTCTCTCTCCCCCTTATGACATTAGACTGGCACATTCTTACTCATCATTCAAGACACAAGTGTCTTTTTCTCCTTAAAACTTGCCTGACTCACGTGGCTGAGTTAAATGTGCTTCCCTTTGCATCTTACTGCAGTGACATTATTTATTTATGTCATTACTTCCCTGTTAAACTATGAATTTCTTGAAGACCATGTGTCTTTGTATGTCTACCACTGGCAGAGTGCTTGACACATCAAAGGTGCTGAATAAATGACAGATGAATGGAATTGAAGCATGATCCAAGGGGTATGGTGATGGATGAGGAGTGCAGGAGTGAGAGGAAGGAGCTCCGGACAGAGATCCAGCTTTGCCTGTACCTCCCTCTGGGATCTGTAGCAAGGCTTTTAAACTGTTGGGCCTAGAGATTCCTCATTTGTGAGATGAGGTTAGTAATACTGCCCAATTCTACACAAACTCCTTAGAAGATCAAATAAGACGTTGGTGAACGAAGTCCTTTTGTAAAGAGCTACATAAATGGAAAGTAGTAACAGCAATGAGATTACATGGCTGTTTAGTCCTGCCAGGCTTCAACGTAGTAATCCTCTCAGTAATCTAAAATACTCCTGACTTAGAAGAGAAGTGAGAGGTTCATAAATAAATGCACAGTATGTTACCTTCTTGTGTGAAAATCAGTTATTTCTGAAGATGTGACCAGAAAATGTGTATCATTTCTAAACAAATTCTTGCCACTGTGACTTCACAGCCAAGAGCCTCTTCTAGAGCTGCATCCTCTCTGCTTACTGTTTTTTGTAGGCGGAGTTCTTATCTCCCTTAACATTAAGCGCACAGGGAATTGGAAAAACCACTGCTTGCCAAGTTCCAAGTGCTCTGCATTCAGCAGCTTGCAGGGGAGAAGAGGGCAGCTGGAAGGCAGAGGCTCACAGCAACCCTGCCAAATGCCTGCAGTGTTTATGGAGGAAAATGACAGAATTCCCCGCTACCCTGAAAGAGGTTTTTTCTTGAACGATGGGAAAACATGCAGGGCATACAGCCATGCTCTCCGTCTTGTTCTCATGAGGAAAAATGATTTCTGGTGTCACTGTGCATGTGTGGATTATAGAGTCTGACCTCACCAACTACTTGGATCAGTATCAGCAGAGAAAGTCCTAAGCTGGTTTCTGGATTTTGTGACAAGAGAAGGCAACATGGCCAGGGTCCACTGCCCTGCTGAATACCTAGCCTTCAGTCAGGAACACTGACAGTTCTCTTCTGTCCCTCCCTTCATCACGTTTGCAGGCCTGCAATCTGCAATGGTCAGTAGGCCTCCTGAGATAGGAGGCCTGTCACCACTTTAAGGGCCACGATGGAGCTGGTGGAGACTGCAGTTAGCACGGGGCTGTGGGAAAAGCACTGGACAGGGAATCCGGGGAGCTGGGTTATAGTCCTGGCTCTGCCACCGTGGTCTGGAGGAAGCCCTCTGTCTCACCGCAACTACATACTTTCTAGGGACTCTGCTGTGAGTTTCAACTGTGAAAATATTTGTGAAGTAGTTTGAAAAAGCAAGAAATAATTACTAATATAAAACATCATATGCCTTATCTACAATGCCAAATGAGCAGTTTCTAATTCTTTGACTTCCAATCAGTTTATCTAGGATAAAATCAAGAACCTTAAGAAGGATATTGTACTAAATAGGATTTCCTATCAGAAACATAGAACTATGTGGTAGTACAAGTGATGACGTCAATGATAATGCTAACATTACACTTATAGTAACATTACAGTGTTTTGTAATAATATTAACAAGCAGTTACATAGCACTTACTATTCAGCAGCCACTGTTCTAAGCACTTTACATAAAATATCTCAGTCATCAAGAGAACTATACAGAGTAGGCCCTGCTATTATAATCTCTTTTTTATAGATGAGGAAATTAAGGCACAAAGAAGTTTAAAAACTTGCTCAAGGTCACATAGCTAGGAAATGGTGGAGGCAGACAGGCTCTAATCCTGTGCTGTACCCACGACCCTCTGCCGCCTCTCGCTGTCCAGCACTTTCACATATGATCCCTCGGTTATTCACAGCAAAGGGCACTCTTACCTCCTGAGGAGGAATATCGAATGAAATAGTTCTCATGTCCACTTTGATGAAGCTGTCAGTGCACGGAAGAACGAAAAACAAACCTGCAACACAGACAGGCAGAGGACTGAAGAGACACTCTGGCACCTCATCAGGTCACTCCACTGTTCAGTGCTAACAGAATCTACCTGACGAGCTGAAAGAAACCAGTTCATCCTAGAGAATGAGCCAGAAGTCGAGAATGTTATTCTTGGCTCTTCTTGCTTACTTCCTGCATCTGTGCCCAAGGCGTGTGGACTTCATTTCCTCACTACTTCACTGTCACGCTATTGTTGTCACTTAGAACAATGTCAACCACTTTCTCAGTCACCCTTCTGTTTCTTCTAGTTCCTCTCCATGTCCTAAGCTGCAGGCACAGCCATCTGTTCTGAAACAGACCCCGGAACAAGCCGTGCAAAGGCCTGCAGGACCTGCCGCAGGCTATCTCAGCAGCTGCTCCCCTCCATCAAGCCCTGTGCTCTCACTAGGCCGGGCTCCCTGCAGCAGCTTGAGTCACCCCAGAAAGCCTTGTCTCACCCTACTAGTCCAGGTCATTCTTCTCCAGTTTTTGACAATTATCTGTGATGACTTGATCATAATACTTATCACATGAGATTGTGATTATCTATTTCCTTACTTGTGTCCCACCACCAGACAGTAAGATCTTTGAGGGCAAGAACTGTGTTTTAGTCTCGCTTGAATCCCCAGAGCCTGGACCACGGTAGGAGCTTAACTGAAGTTTGCCAAAAATTATGACTGAAAGCTTGTATTTTAGTAGGGATTCCCACGCTCAAGCTTCCATAGCTGTAGCTATTCCTGGCCCAAAATAATCTTATCATCTCAAATGGGAAGGGGTGGGGAGAGAAGGGAAGGAAATAGTGATTATAGCAATACTGCCTAGCACCACAGCTATTGTTATATAATGTCTGCTACACAAACGCTTTCCTAAGTCAGCAGAGAAGAGACCTCGTAAGGCTAATAAAAGGGAGGATTTCAGTGTCCAGGCAAACAATCCAGAACTCTCGTACTGACCAGGTCCTTTGGCTCCTCCTTGTAAAATGCGCCCCAATCTAAAGATGATGGCTCTCTCATATTCTTTTATGATCTAGATTAAAAACACAATAATTTAACATGAGGAGTATAAATACTTATATATGGCTTTTTTTTTTAGTTTTTAATTTTTTCCCTCTATTTAATTGAAATACCGTTTATATACAGTATTATACTGGCTTCAGATGAACAACTTACTGATTCATCAATTATATACATTACCAAATAAATGCTCACCATAAGTATAGTTACCATCTGTCACCACACAAAGATACAGAGTATTATGAGCTATATTCCCTATGCTTATGTACAGCCTTTCAAGTATATCTTTCTGTTTTAAACAGGTTAAATGCCTCTATTTTTTCTCTATAATCCAGATATTATCTATAATAGGCCCTATGTTTAACTATCCCCAGCAAGCATATTTACTATTTTGTTAACTGATTATAAAAGCAATGGATAGTCATTGTATAAAACTTGGGAAGTACAGCATAGTATAAAGATGCAAATCTATAACCTCACTCCTCAGCTGTTAACATCATCATTCAACTACTTGTGCATTGGTATTACAGAAAAAAAGCTTAAGTGCCCATAGTGTGTCTCCTAATTCCTTAAATTATAATAATAAACTTACCTGAAGATTCATGGAGCATATTTTATCTTTTTAGGATTATGTAGATAATAGCCATTTATCAAAGTATTAATAACTTTACAGAGGAAATAACCAGCATTTGAGGGGCACTCACCATGTGCCAGGCACTGTGGTAAGTATGTTTACATCCATTAATTCATTTAATCCTCTCAACGGCCCTATGAAGTGGGTGTTGTTTCCTTCCATTTTTTGGACATGGTAAAGGTCACACGATGGACCCAGTAGTCAAACCTCAGCATCCTTACTCTGGAACACTTGCTCTCACAGGACCATCCCATATTCTGACATCAGAAAATTTTAGATGCTAATCCTTCCCTTAACCCTTGGGAAGGACTGTCAGGGCAATGGCTGAAAAGAAGTCTTAAGAGTCCATTATAATAGGTGACTAGAGTGAATTTTCCAAGAGATGAAGGAAAAAAGAATTATAGGCCAGTATGGTCTCTCTGTCTCTTTCACACAAACAAAGTGGGTTTATGTTGTTAGGGGTTGACCCCTCTCCAGATGTGAATGAAATATTCTTTACCTTTATACACATCCATATGGATACTGGGAAAGTTACAAGAGTGAACAAGAATGAGACAGCTACCAAAATCCATCCACAAGGTCCAAGGCCTACACTGGGGCTCTCTGTGAAAACAAAAAATATACAGCTCATCATTGTCATCATGATCCCACCGTCTTCATCCTCACTCTTTACTGACCACCTGGGCTTGGCAATTTTACATGAATTTCCCATCTACTCGTTCTAACAACCCTGAAAGTTTAGGTGCTACTTTCCCTAATCTACTTACCACGATGACA